CCAACTTAGCATGCAAACAAACAAAAGATTCCTGTAGAGTACTACAGATGTTTAGGATGTGAAATACCTACCCTATGCATAACCAACCCCCGATCCCCGAATCTCTTAGCGTTGTTGTTACATCGTAAAAAGGGTTTTTCTTTCTTTAGACCTTTGCTTTGGATAAATTAAAGTTCGGTTGTAATCTAAGAATTAAAGATTCAAGTTAATCAATAGCTTGCTATCACGATTCTCACCGCAACAGAAATGGCGACTTCACTGAGGACATACTTAACTTAAGGGTTTAGCCTATTTTGTTTAATTGCATGCTATATTTGTAAATGTTTGCTTAACATGTATATTTGTCAATATATTTGTTTGATTGTTGGGTATTGGATGCTTTGAGTGGTGAGACGGTCCTATACCCGGACTCGAGTGCACTTATGATAGGATGGTGGTATATTCAAGAATGCTTATAGGGAGTTGATTCCCGACCAAGCTAACTTGAGAAACCACCGCTCAATGTAGACCCTCTTGAAAGTTTAGTATTGTTGATCGAGTATTCGTGAAAACAATGCTACTTTCAACGAAGGAGCCCATGACACTGTGGACTTTTAGATTACATTCTACCCCACTTTGGCCTTATTAGGACGTAGTGCGATGACTATAAGGAAGTATTTCCGAAATAGTTGATATGCGATACTACACTCAGACGAGATTCTCTTGAGAATATTATCGATTACCAAGTAATTTGGGAAGTTGATAATATCCGAAAGATGGGTTGATGACTCTGGGAACTTTGTAGAACCCGTTCGACAGGTACAATCAATCCATAATACAAATCTTTGGGGATGGGTAGACCCTTGGACTCATGCTTGCCCTTAAACCTAAGCTTGTGTTGTGTGCATATACATTTGCTTGTGTTTGTGCATTCATATCATCATGTCATCATATCATCATATGGTTTCATGGAACTCAGACTTTGTTGTTTGTAAACATCAGAGGTCGTCATGAACAGTGAAAGAAAGAAAACTTTGAAGTACACTTACAAGGGTTTTAACCTAGATGATTTGAAAAGGTTGAGTACCTTAGTGACAGATCCAGATGGATTTCAAAGCCGATATGGGAAGCTGTTCTACTCTTGAAGATAAAGATGGATAATGGACTTCTTTCTACTCTCCTCCAGTTTTATGACCCGCTTTACCACTGTTTCACATTCCCTGATTATCAGCTAGTGCCCACGCTAGAAGAGTATTCTCAGTTAATTGGATTGCCTATTCTTGAAGATTCTCCTTTTCCGATTGTAGAGAAGGACCCTAAAGAGAAAGATATTGCCAAAGCTACACGTTTGGGAGTGGTTGATATAAAAAAGAATCTGATTACAAAAGGAGGAGTCTTTGGGTTAAAGGCAGAATTCTTGGTTGAAAAAGCTCAGTACTATGCAGATCATTTAAGCATGGATGCATTCGAGGCTATTCTTGCCTTACTCATCTATGGTATATTCTTGTTTCCAAGCTTTGAGAATTTTGTGGACCTCAATGCCATTAAAATTTTCTTGAAGAAGAATCTTGTGCCTACCTTGTTAGCATACACATACCATTCTGTTCATCTGAGGACCTTTCACAATGGAGGAATGATCACTTGTTGTGCTCCTTTATTGTACAAATGGTTCACTTCACACTTACCCAAAGCCAACGCTTTTTGGGACCCAAAGAAAGGTTGGTGGTCGCAAAAGATCATGGCTCTTACCCATTCCGATATTTATTGGTATAGTCGTGATTATGATGGGACAATGATTGTTGACAGTTGTGGGGAATTCGGCAATGTACCTCTCCTCAGCATAAATGGAGGGATTAGCTACAATCCAATACTCGCCCGCCGACAATTGGGATACCCTCTAAAGGACAAACCCAAAAGTGTTCAAGTGGAAAGCATCTTCTTCAAAGAAGGGGAAGATAGTCAAGGACTAAAAGAGAAGATTCTAGAGGCTTGGAAGCATCTACACAAGAAAGGGAAGAAGGATCTTGGAAGACTCAATTGTGTCTCTTTGGAACCTTACCTCCAATGGGTTCGGAAAAGAGCCGTCACACTAAGGATGCCATATCTTAAGCAAGAGCCTATGTGTAATACCCAAAATTTTTACCCCTAAGATCCCATATTGCATTTTCATTTTTGCATACACAAACAAGACCATACTTTTTGGTTCTCTCAGCGCACTTGTGTTTTCTACTTGCTTTATGTTTACTAACCTCTAACCAAAATACCAAAAATATTTTTCAATTTGTTTGTTTCTTCTTCTTCTCTGTGTGTTTAGGGTTTTGCGAGGAGATTAATAGCGAAGACATTCATTCAAGTTTAAATCAGATGGACGTTTGACCTCATCTTGGTCAAACTATCAAGAGTTTGCTTCAACTATAAGTTACCCGTGGTGGTGGGTTATTTTCTCAGGAAATGAGATTGTTCAATGTCAATTTGTCTTGTATTGAAATCCAGTGGTTTATCAAGCAGTGTTCTATGAGAAGTTTGGTCCAGATATTCAGAGAATTATGTCAAAAATCAAAATTGATGGCCGATGATTTAGTTGCAAATTATTCAGTGGTTCGTTTTTTGAATCTATCAGGGTAAAGTCAGAATTTGGTTTAGATGATAGTCGCTTCAAAAAAATAAAATGATTCGGGAACAAAAAAAAAATTGCGGTTTTGAAAGAGAAAAGAGAGTTGAGTGGATCAAAATGTCCTCCTCAAGGCTGTCAGAGCCAATCGTTTCTTCTGAATATAGGACCAGAGTAACGGTACTAAAAGCACCTCATGGTGATTTACGGTCCTGTCTGGAAATGGCTAAAGTTGCTGATCTATTGGTTTTTTGTCGCCTCTGTAACTGCAAGGTCTTTGTGTGAAGAAGCTGATTCTTACTTTATTGATTCGTTTGGAAAACATTGCCTTTCTATATTTAAATCACTTGGTTTACCAAACACTGCAGTCTTTGTTGAGTTTAATCATGCTACCAGAATAGTGAAGAAAATCAAAATGGTTGGTTATCCATGCAAGATATTCAAGAAAACAGCTCTTATCAAGGATATGTTCACTTCATATCTTAAAGTAGCTCGGTTTGAAGGTGCGGCTATTCGAACAGTCAGCGGGATTAAAAGGTGGTGATTGGAAGAGGAATGAGGAATCCCAAGATAGATATTCTAAAAAGAAAGTGGTCCTAAATGATGGGTTTCCTCTATGTCAAATGCCTAACTATGGATGTGAAGATCCTCGGTGGTCTAGGAAAGAAGACTTGTATTATCCATCTCACAGTAGGAAGCTTGATATTCCTCTTTGGGCTTTTTGTACCGATGAGTTGGTTGATTGTAGTGGTACTGTGAGCAGATCAGTTCAAAACAAGTTTGTTTTTGTTAGAGGAGTAAAAGGAAATGTTCTCTCAGTGGTCAGGATAAATTCATGCGTGGTCAAGGACCAGGGATCATTAGTCTCTGAGTCACACCACAAGACCCAAGGCAAGGATAGATATCATTCAAGGTCAGCCCGACCTTTATCATCAACCAGGGATAGCAAGAGATCATCATCTGAAGAAGATTCACAGTCAAAAAACTGTTATTGATCAAGGTTCTCAAGGCTATTGCAAGAGTGTAGAATCCATTAATATTTCTCAAGACCATCTCTGTGCCGTCCATGGCTTGCAATCGCAGCTGAGAATTGTCACTGAGCTTGAACTCTGGCAGGAAGCCTTTAGATCTGTTGAAGATATACACGGGTTAATGTGCATGGTCAAGAAAACACCAAACTCATCCAACTCTAACTTTCTCTCCAATTCGATAACCACCACCACATTTCAAGAAACGATGCAACCTTCCGATCACGATTCTTCTTCGCAACGATATTCCTACAACCCCGCTCTCAACTGGAACCCTCAACTTCACAACTACCAAAGCTTATGGCTCTGATCGCTTCTCTCGCATCTCCTCCGCTTTAACGCGACCTTCTCGTTACTCGTGTATTCATGTGAACACTCTTCGATCTAATTGTGATGCTGTTATTGAGAAATTACGTTTGCTCGTGAAGAAATCGTCGAATGATGATGGTTATGATGCTGTGAATCCTTTGAAAGAGTGTTTGGATTCTGATTCTGGTCCAGTTTTCAAGTGTCGGATTCCTGGACTGGATTATGTTGTGTTTGTTTGGGGCTCGGGACCACGCCGTGTTGATTATGGTAATGTAGCTCCTAAAGAGGTTATTGTTAGTAGGAAGTGTGCTGAGGCTGTTCTCCGGGGAGCTCAGGTATATGTTCCTGGTATACTGGCTTGCAGTGCTCATGTGGAGAAAGGAGATACAATTGCCGTCTCTGTTTCTGTCGAGCAGAAGGGTTCAGATGGGAGTTGGAGTGCTGGAATGACGCGTGGTATTGTTCTTCAAGGATCTGAGACAGATCCATATTATCTTGAACGAAATGGGCTATATATTGGCCAAGGAACTGAAATGTTGTCAAGGGCTGGAATGTTCCGTGTTACTCAAGGACTTGGTGTGGATATGAAGGATGGAGTATATGAACTTCATTCTTTTCACAATGTGCTCGAAGGTGAAATATTTCTTCAAAACCTGCCAAGCATTATTGCTGCTCATGCTTTAGACCCACAAATGGGTGAACGCATACTAGATATGTGTGCTGCTCCAGGAGGGAAAACAACTGCAATTGCAATACTTATGAAGGAGAAGGGGAGGATTATGATTTTTTGAATGAAAGTTTGAATATTATAATCTGCTGCAACTTCATGTTGATTTTTTTTTTCAAACTAAGACTAGTTTCCTTATATTTCAATTACTGTGGCATGTTTGCCCGAACCACCAGACCCAATTGAATTTTGCCTCAGCAATCTGAACAGGTTGGATCTAATGGTATGCTTGACGATTGGGAAGAGAATTTGGCTGTAATAACTTCAAACAGAACCAAATGTGATGAGCTTGTAATTATTCACCTCGATGATTGCTTACAGAAAGAGAAACAGTGAGTGAAGAAAAATGGGAACCAGAGGTCCACTTCAATTCCATCCTAATTCTGCCGCCATTTCGAAAGGCTACAACTTTGCCTCCACTTGGGAACAGAATGCTCCTTTGACCGATCATCAACAAAATGCGATTATATTGCTTACTCATGCCGTTTCAGAACGACCATTGCCTCTCAAATTGGTTCAAGAGAATGCATTGGTTCAGGATAATGCGTTGTCGGTTAGGACTGAGGATAGTTATTTTGATGATTCTGGTGCGATTAAGACTGTTATGGTTAATACAAATCAGTTCTACAAATGGTTTTTTAGATCTTGAATCTGCCATGAAATCAGAGACAGAAGAGAAATATCAACATTATGTGAGCACTCTAACGGAGCGTATACAGACATGTGATGATATTCTCCAACAGGTTGATGATACCTTGGACTTATTCAACGAATTACAGATGCAGCATCAGGCAGTAGCTACAAAGACTAAGACGCTTCATGATGCATGTGATAGACTGGTACAAGAGAAGCAAAGACTGATTGATTTTGCGGAAGCACTCCGTAGTAAACTCAATTACTTTGATTAACTGGAGAATGTTGCTACCAATTTTTATTCTCCAAATATGAACGTTGGAAACGAAAACTTTCTCCCACTTCTTAAAAGGCTTGACGAATGCATTTCATATGTTGAAAGCAATCCACAGTATGCAGAATCCAGTGTTTACTTGCTTAAATTTCGTCAACTTCAGTCTCGAGCATTAGGCATGATGCGCTCTCATGTGCTTTCCGTTCTTAAAAGCGCCTCTTCTCAGGTCCAAGAAGCAATTCGTGGAAGTGTGGGCGACAAAGCATCTATATCTGAGGGAGTAGAGGCTTCTGTAATATATGTTAGGTTTAAGGCAGCAGCAAGTGAGCTTAAACCACTGCTTGAAGAAATTGAAAGCAGGTCTTCAAGGAAAGAATATGGTCAAATCCTTGTAGAATGCCACAGATTATACTGTGAGCAACGCCTCTCTTTGATAAGAAGCATAGTTCAGCGACGGATATCTGAATTTTCCAAGAAGGAGTCCTTGCCATCATTAACCAGATCAGGATGTGCACATCTCATACAGGTCTGTCAACTTGAACACCAGCTGTTTGATCATTTTTTCCAGCTTCTTCGAAGGATGTTTCGAGTTTATCTCCATTAATGGATCCTCTGTCAACATATTTATATGATACTCTGCGCCCCAAATTAGTTCACGAAACAAGTATTGATTTTCTTTGTGAACTCGTTGATATACTTAAAATGGAAGTCCTGGGAGAACAACATAATAGAAGGACTGAATCATTGGCTGGTCTTCGTCCTACGTTTCAAAGAATTTTAGCAGATGTTCACGAGCGGTTGACTTTTCGTGCTCGGACTCATATACGGGATGAGATAGCAAATTACATGCCGACTAATGAAGACTTGGACTACCCTGAAAAGCTGAAAAAATTAGCTGAAAGTACATCTGAGATCAGTCCTGTTGATGACAACCCAGATACATCTAAGACATGGTATCCGCCCCTGGAAAAAACTCTATCATGTCTTTCAAAGTTGTATCGTTGTTTAGAGTCAGAAGTTTTCACAGGTTTAGCACAGGAAGCAGTATTTTGAAGAATACTAGCTGCAGCAACTGAAACAAAGCCGTGTAAGCCATGAAAGCCAATCCACGTCATATATTTAAATCTGAGCTGAAATCAAAAAAAAGAAAGAGTAACACGTCACTTAAGTGAGCTGAAAGAAGAAAAAGCAAAAACGACATGAAAAAAATATCACAACAGGTCACACATAACTTGCATCCCAAAACGCAGAAAAAAATCTCACAAACGGCAAATCATTTTCACTCATTCTCATCTATAAATAGAACACCTTATTCACTCTTTTCTGGAAGCTTTTCAAGCCAAAAAATCTCTGCTGATTTTCTTCCTCAATTCCTCAATACAAAACCTTTTGCTCACATTCTCTTCTCATACTTCCTTCCACCAAATTAACTTCAATCAACCTCAAACACAAATCAATTCAACCAGAGATTCGTTCAGAAGAAGAAGAGAAGCAAGAAGAAGTTTGGATTGATTTCTTACCTGAGTTTGAAGGTAGATTGAGCTTCACCGTCATTTTCGATCCGTTACCTTTTGTTGTGATTCTTTGAATTGTTGGTACCATTGTGAAGAGCTCTTGATTTCGATTGCAACCGCGTATTTTTCGCGTCCCGCCGTTGTGATTTAAGCAAGCATCCATGGCCATGAATGTTTTCGCGTGTGAGAGCTAGAAGAAGAAGATGATTCTGTTTCGTTTTCTCTTTCTTCTTTTCAATTGTATTTTTCTTTTATTTTTTTATTTTCCTTTTTATTTCTTTTCAGAATTTAACCGTGTGGACTTTTCCACATTTTTCTTTTATTATTAAATTTGTATTTTAATTTCATTTTTGAAAAAGCTCTTAAAAAAATTATTTGAAAATATTTTGATTAAGTGTTGGTTGTTTTGGATCTTGAATTTGATAAGATTTCATCAATATCAATGGACTTTGGGTGTTGATTTTATCCACCAAGAGAGGTGATTGATATTGACGATAATTTAATCGATTCGAGATTCAAATTGTGATTTCATTTTCTTTCTTCTTTTTTTTTTTTTTGATCGATGAAATCTATGGATCATAGATTGTTGATTATCAAGGTTGTTTAATCTTCATTATTTCAAATCTATGGACGAATAATCATTGAGATAATTCTCCTTACTTTGGAATAGTGATAGATTACCTTTGATTAATTAATTAAAAATTTTGATTATGATGAGATCACTACCTCTTTTCTTTTTGTGTGGCATGTTTTAGGAGAGTGATTTGCATATCACTTCTCTAACATGTATTAACACTAACATTTTATTGACCGGCCTCAGATAGTCGTGGTTTCTACATAAACCCGATTACGATTGCTTAACATAGCGCTAAAGTGTCCCTTAATCGGAAAATGATCATTCGTGGCTCAAACTTACGTTTAAAAGTCCAAGTATGTTTAGTTGCTTGTCTTAACTCCAATACCTATGAAAATCATTGTTAGGAGGCTTTGATTCTATCAATCCTCTAATGAATTTTCATTAATCTTGGTCTAAGTGCAAGAATTAATCATCATTGATCATATGTTCTAACCACTAACCACTAATTCACTAACAATATCCTTGTTTAATTTTGTTTATATTCTCTTCTTACTCCTTATTTTTTTACTTTTATGCTTCCATTTTATCATTTCATACCATATCTTTGTTTATGTTTATGTCATTTCTCTTTTGTCCACTTGGACCATACTTTGTTCAAAACACTAATAAAGGATAAAACATCTAAAAAATTTAGTGCTATTAACTTTGTGGTTATACTCTTGGACCATTCTTAGACTTTGGACTTCATGGACATTTTGGACTTAGGATTAGGACTTTCTTCCCTATGCTTGGAGTATTTTGAATCTTAGCCTTTATTTGGCTCGATCATTGGCTTATGCTTTAAATCGGATGGAATTCTTTTTGCTTGCTTTGGAGTGTGCTACAAGTCGGTTAGATCTTTCTTATCTCTAGCTCTTATTTTGTTTTTTAGGATAGTCACTTCATCTCCTCCCCTTCTTAAATTTTCAAAACTTTCTCCCTCCTTCAAAACCTTCTTGGTTTCAAACTTCAAAACCGCTTTCGCAATAAAACCTTGACTTTCGTCAAGTGATTTTTAAACTTTGTTTTTTTAATAAAAGTCAATCAATGTTAATCATGCTTTGACTAATTTCAAAAGACATAAAAAATACAAAAACTCATCAACTCTTTTTGTGCCTTTATGCACTTTTTCACTTTAAAACTTTTCATAAAGTTTAGACAAGATTCATTTCTATAGTTGAGATGTAAATCTCCTATTCCCCATATTATTAAGACTTTGACATTTTCCACGTTGATGTTGAGTGATAGTCTTGTTGATAATCCAAGCAAATCCTCCATCTTTATGTGACGCAGATGTTGTCTTAATACTCGTGGGTGGATAGTCGCAGTTTTCTCCTTGAAATGACGACTTGTCTTTACATCTAAAATCAATCAAAACCAACAAATTTTTGTCATTTGTACCACGAACTACGGGGTTTTGATTCCATATTGCACTTTATGGGTACGTAGGCATGAGACGATAAGTCTCTCCAAACACAAAAATATAAAAAATAATTCTCTTCTCATCTCCCCAATCTCTTTTCAAACAAACCATTTTCAAACCAAAAAGCGTAAATATTTCAAAGGGCTCCTATAGAGTACTATAGACGTTTTGGGTGCTAATACCTTCCCATTGCGTAACCAACCCCCTTACCCCGATCTCTGTCTCATGTTCTTATTTTAGAACTCTTTGGTTTTGTTCGCTCTTTTTCCTTTCCTTTATTTGGATAAAATAAAAGTGCGGTGGCGACTCTTGTTTTTTTTAGTTAAGCTAATCAATAGCTTACGCTCACGATTTTTTCCGCTACAGAAAAGTGGCGACTCTGCTGGGGACTCCAACGGTTCCTAGTGGGTTTCGCCTACTTTGATTTATTTATCGCTTTCTGTTTGACTTGTTTGTTATTGATTGTTTTGTTTTGGTGCTTGGTAATTTGTGTGGTGAGATAAGTCCTAACCCGGACTTGAGTGCACTTATGATAGGAGGGTGGTATAGTCTTGTTGGCTTACGTGGAGTAGTCCTTACTAAGCTGACTTGAGATCCCCCGCTCGGTGAAGGCCCCTTTGGAAATTACTGATGTCTTACGAGTAGTCGTAATTGATATTACTTTTTCCGACTGGGAGCCTGAGAAGCTGAGGACCTTAGAACCCTTTAACCCATCTTGGCCTTATTAGGACGTGGTGCGGTGGCTGTTCAGGTGTAGACTTGAATTGGTCGTTACGCGATACCACACTCAGATGAGTTTCTCTTGAGAATATTGTTGGCCGACGAGTAGTCGTTTAAGCCGATAATACCCAAAAGATGGAATTATGATTCTGGGAACTTTTTAGAACCTTGTTCTACAGGTGATGATATAACCATAGTACATACCATTGTGGGATGGTTGGTTCTTACCTTTGGCTCCATGCTCGTGCCGAACCTTTGAACCTGTGTGCTTTGTATGTCTTGTTTGTGGGTGTTGCATCTTGCACTCATGCATTCATGAGCATTGTGTTTCAGCTGGTTTTTAAGGATATCAGAGATTTTCTTTTGCAAACATCGCAGATATTGTTGATTATGGATATTGGAAGGAGAAACACTCAGAAATACGGTTTTCGGGCCCCTGATCTTACAGAGTTGAGAAAGCTAGTGTCCT